AAAAACCTGTCAGTTTGTGATAAGCTTCATTAACGCAGCATAATTAACGTTTCGTTATTGGAAACGTTACGAAAAAACGAAATCAAACTTTAAATTCGGAAGCTCGAATTGCTTCAAAACAGAAAAAAAGAAAGAAAGAAAGAATAAACAAAATAATAATAATAAGCTGTTTATGCTAAAAATTTGTTTTTCGTGAATAAAATGAATATATTGGCATTATCGAGGACGCCGAATAAACAATACACATAATGAGATGCTTTACTTATTTGTTTTTTCTCTCTTTCGAAATCGCAATTATCCATAATGCATGATTATGATAATGATTTATTAAAATTTCAATTTTATTTTCTTGCTGATTAACATTTTCACTTTTTCACGTCTACGATTGTACAAATGTTATATTTATGCGTTCTTTAATCTTGTTAATTATAGTGCAATTACCATTAATATTATAATAGCAATTAATTGAAAAAAATTCTAAAACTGTAATCATTCGATGCGAAAACAATGATTAACTAATTCGTTTGCTTCTTCACACGTCGAGTGTGCTAAAGTTTAAGCAAAGAATGATCTGAATGCGTGAAAGAGGGAAGTTTTGGAGGATTTGCGACTTTTCGAAAATTCGTTTTAAAGTGCAATTGAATAGACGTGCGAAGAGAAGAGTCCTCCTCCTCCTCCTATTCTTTTGTCGTAACTTGGAAAGGTGTAATGAAGATATTTATTGTGGTGGCTTCGCGCACACAAAAGGAACCAAAAGATCGAGTGGCGTTTCCCATAGTTCTCTGTCCCGATGGACAGGTTGAACATTGTTCAGTTTTTGGGAGGCTTTTAAACGAATTTTCAGAAATAGCCGCGGCGGCATTCCCGTGCGCGCGGCGGCTTCTTCTTCTGCTCCTCCACCACCACCTCCTCCTCCTCCTTCTCCTCTTCACCTCATCTTTGCTCTTCCACGAAAAATAAGACCTATTTTCGGTCCGTTCGGCGCCTTCCCAGAACAAAAGCCTTCTCATCTCTATCTCTTCAAATTCAATCTCTATCTCTCTCTCTTTCTCGCACATTGAAAGAACGCAGTCAATGGTGTCTATCTCTTCTCGACAACTACCAAATAATGGAGAGAGTCGAATCTCGGACAATGGCCCAGCGGGATTCCACTCGAAGGGAACGATGCAAGAAGATGCTTTCTGCTGCCACTCGTCTACAAACACTCTCACGTATGCACGCAAAGTCAGAGATTTAGAGAGAGAGAGAAGGTAGAAGAGGAAGAATGCGTTCGTTTTTCGAGACAGGTACACCGAGAGAAGCAGATTAAATTCCTACACCTTTAATTGCCGACGAGATTCCGCTTCACAGCTTCGTCCTCTTTCCCATCGAACACCCTCCTTCAATGAACACACCTCTTATACTTATACACTCCCTCCTCTTCAAAAACGCTATAAAACTGAAGGAATATTGCAAATTCAAAATACGACATCAACAATTATACCTTTCTGTTTCTCAATAAACTCAACTTAAACTCTTCTCAATTGATTTATAGATACAATTAGTAGTTTTACAGTTTAGTTAGTTAAATCATTTATATTAAATTGAAATTACTATTTGGATGCATACGAGAGTAAACTATTATACCCATAGAGTAGTGAATGTTGTCTGTTATCAAAGAGCGTGAACTTTGACCGAATCGAATATTTCCATCTCGAAAACCATTATTATTATTAATGTAACGAGAAGCAAACAAACAAAACGAACATTTAAAACGTTTGCTCCATTTTACAAAATGCGGCGTTGATTAAGACTGACTACAAATTAATTAAAGTGTGCGTTTATTTGTGCGTGAATTGACGAAACGATGATATATTAAAAATTTTAATTTAAATAAATATATTCCAATTACCGTGCGTCTTCTTTCCTATGTTTGCTTATATTGTCTAAATAGGAAATATTGACAATTACTTTATATAATCAAAGACAAATTATGAAACGTATGTATTAAGGATATTATTTTTAATTAAATTTGTAAGATTACAATGAATTAAAGAGTTGGATAAAGTTTCAGAATTAAACTTTAACGTAGGCAACCAAAGTTACATTTTTAATAATATTCAAGGGACAACTGGGATAAATCCGAAAAGGGGTAGAAAAATGGGCCAAATCTCTTTATGAATTAAAAAATTGGGGAAATTAATATTTAAACAAATTGTTGGTATTATTTAATAAAAAAAAAAATATATTTAAATGTATATATATTTGAAATATTTAACAAAAGTCTGATAATAAAAATATTTAATATAAATTTAACAATTTTTCAAAAATAGTTTTATATATGAAAGATATTAAAATATGTCATTATTACTAATGCATGTTCTTTGGTTGTTGAGCCGTATTTTTCTTCTGTCTTTTCCTCCACTTCTTTCTTTTGCCATTGCTTCTATGCGTTTTCGCCGCAGCAGGAACTACTTGTTCTACCTGCGAGCTTTGTTGCGCTGTATGCAACCCGTTACTCACGTTTGCATCAGATTCGCCGGGATTTCGTTGCTCTATCGTGAATATTGAAGTTGGCCTGTTCATGTAGTACTCTTCGTCCAGTTCATCCACGGACGACGATGAAGATGAACCGAGCGAGTCGTCCAATTCTTTTCCCAGATGAACGGACATGCATTCTCGAAACTCCTGCGACGATTCAAACTGCGAAAGAGACGATACTAAGTAAATTACCACGAAAGAACAATCAATTTGTTGATCCTACGTTCGTTTTCAATACTAGCGGCTCCACATTCTTGCCGACTTTGATGTGTCCAACCGAGGCGTTCAATTTTATCATATCTTTTTTCAATGTTAAGTTGTCGCTGCTTCTGCTGCTACTCTCATTTTGATTGTACAATTTAGGTTGTTGCTACAAATAATAACTTCGATGAATTAGATTGAATTAACATTCAGCAGTTACCTTTTTAAGAGCAAGATCTGGAGGTAATGTCTCTGGTGCATTTGATCCACGCGTCTTTGGTTCATCATTTCGTGGAACAGCTGCTTCAACAGAAGGAACTTTTGCAACATTTTTTGATTTAAACCTATGATACGCTTGTGTTTTAATATTTTTTGGAGCAACTGTTTTAGGAACTTGTACAGGTTTATATGTATTCTGGACAATTGTTGCAAGAGTTGGAGTAGGAGGAACTTGTACAGGTTTATATGTAGGAGGAACTGGCACAAGATTAGATGTATTTTGAACATTTGTTGTTGGTCTAGCATTTTGTGGAACTACAGTCGCAGTAGGAGGAATACGGACAACATTGTATGATTCAAAGGCACTATATGCATCTTGTATAGGTTTAGCAAATTGTGGAGCTACGACTGGTGTAGGAGTAAGCTGTGCCCTGTTCCATGTATTATGGATACCTCCAGGTCTAGCTGTTATTAGTGGAGGTACAGCTACTGTAGGAGGCAACCTATGCACCTGCGGTCTAGGTCTGACAATTTGTGGATTAGGAGAAACTCTTTCAATTCCATGTGGTTGCATTGTTGTTGGTGTTCCGTTATCCTGCACAACTTGATGCAAACCACTCGAGCCATACTGAGTTGTTTGTGATTGTTCACCATCGGGTTGATTATTACTTGGTAAATTTGTATCGCGAGGTCCATCTACACAGCATATGCACATCAAAATCTACAAAAAGGAAATGGTAAAGGATAGTAAACTTTATGTTTAACATTACAATACAAATAATATGAATACCTTATGAATTAGAGAGACATCCTCCTCGACTTCAGACATATTTTTTGTTGAGAATCAGCAAATCTGTAGATGTGGTAGAAGAATGATCTTGATTAAATAATAATTGGAAGAGAGTCGAGAGAGTCCGGTGAATTACCAAAGAAGGCTTAAACAAATAAACAATGAGTTTGTACTGCCACCTGTCGCTCATCCTTGCAAGCGGTATGACGGATAAAAGTAAACAAGTTACGGTGGTGTTGCTGCAGCTTTTTGTTGCCACATCTACTAATCAAGTGCGATGATCTTCATTTGTTCGCATATTTGCTGGGATTGTCGTCAACTCGATTGGCTCTTCCCAGGAAATATGAAGGAAACGAGTAGGCTGTGCGATTTGATGTAGACACAAAAAAAAAAGAAGAGAGTCGAGAAGTTAGTGGACCGACCTTGGACATGCGATTATTATTATTTTCCTGAATTCGCGATTCAGTTGATTGTTAATGCGACAGTCACTCACTGACTACTGATAGCCGTACATCAAGTTTTATAGTCCTAACAAAAAAAACCTATTGCCGCAGACATGTTTCGCGTAAGTAATATTACTTAAGTTTGATTCACAACTGTTGCAATTTTAGTCTTAACTGTGTTCTACTATGCATGCTCATCCCATCCAACGCGTATCATCATCTCAATTTACTGCTTGGATTGAATGCAAAGCCTTACTTGATCAATCAGTCGAGAGGATTTTCTTTTACCCGCCTACTCCGATCATCAGTTACGAAACATTTCGCAATCTTCCATTGGTTGCATCAACAAACCAAACAAAGAAATACGCTGACTCTTTGCTTCTAACGCTAAACATCTAATGTCTTCTAATGTTAACTGGTAGAATTTGTTTTTAACAAAACGACAAAAGTTTGATACAATTGTGACTGTACAGATTGTTGATATAAATATAATGTATTGTTGTTTAATCTCAACTGTATTGTATGAATCAAACGTTCTAATTGATACGGCAAGTATCAGAGTACGTTTGTATTGTTTTCAAGTATTGTTTGCTTAATAGTAATGTGCGTTTTCAGAGATCGTTTTCTAGTACAGAGGAGTTCCACATGTGCTCGAATATGCATGGGGTGAGCTACATCGGGAGCAGCAGCAGCAGCGACAGCGGTAGCAGCAGCAGTTCCGAATCCATGGATGAGCTGGATGAAAACTACTATATGAATCGGCCCCCTTCGATCTTCAGCAACAATCGTCCAATCAATCTGACGTTACCGACGAACACGATGTTCCTCTCCGCCACCGAAAACCTGTCCATCGGCTCGTACTCGTCCAGAGAAAGGTACGCGAATGTGCTGAAGCAGCATCAAGAGGATGATAAGTCCGAGGCTGAAGCCATGAGCAAATCTAAGAAGGACACGTCAACGAAGTTCCCAAACAATGTCCTCCTCGCCACCGAAAACCTGTCCATCGGCTCGAATGTGCTGAAGCGTGAGGCTGAAGCCATGAGCAAATCTAAGAAGGACATGGAGAACAAGACGAAGGAAAACGTTGTTATCTCAGAAAATCAGTCGTCGGATGATTGGATTACACCGAAGGGGATAAAATTAATGAAGATGCAGAGCGTCTCCGAGAATGCGAAAAACATGTTCAGCGTTCTGCTGGACATTTCCACCGACGAAGAGAAAGTTGAAGAGGCTGTGGATAGCGGCGATAAGAAGGAGCAGCATCAATGCAGCGCATCGCAGGAGACGTTGACGAAGAAGCGAAATGGAAAGCGGAGGAAGAAGAGGGCTGAGAGAAAGAGGGCGGCCGCCAACGTGGAGCAAGACTTGAACGTTGTTAAGCATAAGATGAAAGAGGTAAAGCAGCAGAGCAAACCTAACGGTACGAGGATGTCTAATAATACGGAGAGGTGTTCGAAACAGCAACCGGAACTGCCGCAGTTCACCGACGGCGAAGTGAAGAAGTTAGTGTCCACGAGGAACGTGGAATCTCGTGGGGATCTACAGAAGATGACTAAATTGTATAAGAAAATCGAGAAGAAGGCAAATAAATTCAACAAGAAACTGTTCAAAAGGCTGAAGGCTCGGTCGTATATTACGATACTGCTGTACGAAACGCCCAAGAAGACAACTATGAAAGATCTGGTGACCGATGGGCTGTTCGACTTCAGGTGTTTGCGCAGAGAGAACATCTACAATCCCTACTACTTTGACACCAAATTCACCGTCTGCGATGTTAACCACCACTTCTGAACCGTAAACTTTTTTGAAAATATTTATATTCAATCTTAAATTAGAAATATTCCATGATTTTCTACTTTGAAGAAATCATCGTTGCTACAACACGAGTTTCACCGTCTTCGATTAACTGAATCTGTACACAGATATATTAAAAAGTCCACGAGAGACGATATATGGATGTAGTTTTATATAAATGTTTTACATTATACTGCGTGCGTACCTAAGGTCGGACTTGCTTGACTTGCTTGAACTTCAGCAAGTTTAATTCTATTTGGTCGCGTCCGACTTAATAATATTAAGATTTTGATATTTATGTATATATAAAGATGAAAATGAGAAATTACATATTTTGTTGTTGATGTTTCCTATTTTGTTAATAAGAATCACAAAGTGCCACAAAAAAAACAATACTCTCCTTTATGACAAAAATATATAATATCTCAATGGATATTTCACGATTAATTTCCATTGAAAATGTTGTGTTGGTAGTTTCGCCGTTGGTCGACTGATAACAGAATACGCTTTATTGTAAATGATGTAAATTAATGAATGACGACTGGATTTTTTATTAATATTTAAAAGTATACCAAAAACAAAAAAAGAAGAGAGATGAGCAGAAAACTAACGCTTTACTATGTTTAAGTTATGCAATAATTGATGCATTACGATTTTATTGTAAATAAAGAGGATTGGAAATGCGATTTTTTGATTGGAAGAGAGCGAATAAAGTTGCCTAAGTAGCGTGGGCGTGTGTACAGGTGGGTGGGACCAGAGCGATCCGCCAATGAACGATTGCATTTGCGCTGTTCTTCCGGTTCTTGGATATATCAGGAATTAAATTATGGACAGGGATAATAATTGGGAACCCTCCTATAGTGAGAGAGAGAGATAAAGTTAAGTGGGTGGCAACGGCCCAAAACACGGAATTAGACCCGGGGTTGGATCCATTAGGGAACAACAGGAGATGGAGAATGATGGAGGAGAATCGTTCGGGAATAGAACGGGATCCGGGCAGCAGGAGGAGACGGAGAGAGATGAATTTATATTTGAATAGGAGCGAGAGTGAGGGAGAGAGAGAGACAGACGGAGGGAGCAGGAGGAGGATGATTGGAAGAGTGGCAAAGTGTTCTTTAAATAGTGCGCTCGCTTCCGGCCGCGCGTCGCATCGTCGCGGCTCTCTCAAATCGGCGCCGAAGACGCTTCACTCATTAGTGGTTTCAGTGAGTGTCGCTGACACTCACCCAAAAAATCCACCCACAAAATAGAGAAAAAAAGGAAGTAGAAGTAGAAGAAGAGCAGGAGTAGTGTGAAGAAGTAGCAGTAGAAGCAGCAATAAAGTGCGCGCACGAAGAACGGAAGAGATCGGTCGGAAGAGGAACGCGCGCGCTCTCCGGAAGAAAAAAGAAGAGGAAGGAAGGAAAGAGGAGACTAAGATTTTTTGTTAGTTTTTGAACTTCCTGTGCGTGTGCAAGGATTGTGCCCGAAAGGATTAGGCTGCTGCGAACGGAAGACGCGAAGAAGGCTACCATCGAGAGGAGACGGAAGGGCTTAGCACCTTTGGGCTTGAAATGAGCGGATACCGAAGCAGCTACGTACGTATTACCATATCATTATTTCAAAAAAAATCATAATTAATCTCACACATTTGACATTTTAAACCCTAAGACTTTGTTTATAAACTGTTTTACCCGAAATCTTTAATCAATCATTCACTTTCTTGAAACATAATAAATATATCTGTTGAAAACAAAACAAAATCTGCAAAAAAACAAAAGTTAATTGAAACAAATGAACAGTTTCTACGTAATGTTGATATGATGAGAATTAAATTATCAAAAAAAAAAAAATCGTTTATATTTTAACATGCAGAATGTACGCACGCGGCTTGTTACTACATGTAACACACATTTCGGGCGAATTACGAAAATACTTTGCCGAATAACCGGGATCAGCGACGTGAATCACCGAACCCAAATCCTACACTTTTGCATCAATCTCTCTCTCTTTCTCACACACACATACTTGTTTCTTTCCTTATCCCTTTGTTTTATTTCCTACTAGTCTGGATCGCCACTCTGAAATATGTTTCTGCAAAACCGTAGAAATCAAGTTAACGCTAAAACGTGCAATTGTTTGCATTTACTGACCGTTTCATAGATGAATTTATCGCAACATTCGGCAAGAAATTCGAGATGTAAACAAGTATGTAATTCTCTGTCAAATGCTCAAGCAAAATGACATTTTCAACAATCACAGTTTCTTTAGATTTTCGACTATATCTACCACAAATATTATTAAAACTTATTGAAGTTACAAGTAAATCTATGGGGAATAAAATGAAAATTGTATCAACCTTATAAATTAATTTAGTGCAATTATAAGTCACTCTTAAGTGATTAAGCTCTTTCTTATGTACATGTAAATTATTTACAAAACAATAACGAAAACTGATACGAACTGTTGGATTAGATTAGATTATTGTAATTAGATTATTTTAATCATTTTAATTGTCTCATTTATATTGAAAATGTATGGTTATTGGTAATTGTAGAAAAAGCAAAGTGTAGAAATTCACGGATTCACTTACATTGCGCTTGTTGTTACATCGACGTTGCAACTGTTTGTTACGAGCAGGTTTCTATGCAAACTACGTTTAATTGCTTCGTTGTTGAATGCGCGCAGCATTGAATCAGCAGTATCAATTGTATTATATAATACAATCGAATATAGAAACATTCATTATCAAATTTCGTTAGATATTTTATTCTTTTTCGTAACATTACGTTATTTGAGAGTAAAAATTGTGTATTTTTACAGCAGGAAGTATATTATATCTGCGTTGTGATGGCGCGAGTGGTCGAAAATAATCGTCAAGGCCGTGAACGCTTTTGTTTCGTTTCGTTTTTCCTATGTTTTCCCGCAGTTTTCCCCAATTGAACATCTATAGCTCGAAGAGCGAAAGAGGTTTTTCCTCAGGCGGCGGCGGCGGCGGATTTCAGTAGACGGTCAAATATTTACGAGTCCAGGAATAGATCGAGAGAGAGAGTGTGTTGTTCGTGCTTTGGTAATTTCCCTTCAGCCTTCTTCATCTGTTCGTCTGAAACAGATGAACGTGTGTTTCAGGGCGAAATCGTTACGGTTTTGTTTTGTTGTCCCGGAAAAAAAAAATGTTAGTTATTGGGTTTAAAACATCCCGACGTTCCTTTGGCAGCTGACCAGAACAATTGCGCAATCCGCGACCACCGCCGCCTTTGGCAGCCAACAAATTGCTCCCAATTTGGATCAATTATGGTTCTTCTTTAATTGAATTACGAGTTTCTCGAACTAATTTTTTTTTTTTTTGTCATTCTCGCTCTCACCCTGACGAAACGGGGAGATAAATCATGGTTTCGTGGAGCCACTCCTGCGGCTTCTTCATGCGTTGCAGGAAATTAAAAGGTTCGTCTGTAGGCGATCCATACGCCTTCAAAGGGTATATGAGTGAGAGAGAAAGAGAGAGAAATACGGAGAAAAAACACCTTATAAAACTGTCAAGTGCGTTTCCCTCTAGAACTTAACTATTTCTGTGCATTCCTGATGGGCTATTTTTACGCGTTCGCTCCCGTATCAGAATCCTAGCTCCTCTACACCTCTCATTCTACATCATTCTCACTCTATCTTTATGACTTTATGCGTGTAGTGTCATCCACTTTATATAATAATACAATCGTTGCCTTTTGGCTCGTCCTCATCCTCGCCGGGAAATCCGATCTGCAGGAAATCCATTAGGTGTTTATTATTGGAATCGGATTTTAGTTGTTTGCCATCAATCAACAGCTCTGGTAACAAATGCTGTGCGAAGGAAAGAGAAAGAGAGCAGCTGATGAGATTGGGTTTTTCGCAAGATTTTGTTGGGAAAGGCGACGACCGTCTGTTTATTTATTTTCACGGATCCGCGTCGGCCGAGCGTCTTCCTCCATATCGCTCTTTTGTTCACTTGTTTCGCGTAAGAAAAAAATCTAATTAAAGATCACATCGTAATGATGATCATCCATTTGCTTACACATCACCTCAACATCATTTCCTTTTATTTTCGTGCGTTTGAGCTTCTATTTCTGGGGCCTTCCCTTCCTCTCCGCTCTCATTCTCTCGACATCTTGTTACAATTCTTGTAATACTAATTTACACTCCGTTTAATGTTCCATTTACTTACTTGCGTCCGTTACGAAATTGCGGAAACCTGCGTTTCATTTTATTTTATTTTTTTACAATTTACTTTTCACTTCAGATTTTCGCAATTTTCTCAGTTAGTCTTAATACCATCATTAATATTATACATACGAATTACAGATAAAACTACAGCGAATACAACGGTTAATACGTGACATTTGTATCACTTTTCATTTTCTTGCAATTAGTTGTCAAAATTGTGAAATTTGGAGAGTCTGATAAGCAATTGTTTTATGTTTTCACGTGTATCTCGATTATTGATTTTGAACATAGAAATTAAACTTAAAATTATAAGGAACAAAATGATCGAAGGATGATAATTGTTACTGATAATTTACTGTCAAAGTAATGATTTTACATATGTCTTTACATTTTATCATATTTCTTGAGAAGACTGTAGATGATACATTTGATGTGCAAATTAAAGTTAAGATTGTAACGAATTTAATGAATGTTTGCTGAGTATATTTATATGCTGCGGCTTCCCAGCAGTAATTCGTCGTCAAAATTGTTTTTGAATGTCGATGGAGCGTCTTCGTATATAGATGATGTTCGAGAATAACGCAACTGAACTTGACTTGAATGTATATGTATTGGAAAACGGATATAGAAGTTTAATTGCGGACCCAATGGTGAGGACGGAGGAGGAATCCGCGCGTCGTGCAGATCCATCAATCCGAGAGATGAAAATACGCGCGCGTGTGACCTTTGCATGTAAATTTAGTATAAGCCAATCCTTCCTTCCAGAGATCTTCTTTTAATTGCAATGAGAGGAAAGTGGTAAAAGGAGGAAGGAAGGGAACGACTGCAAAACGAGCAAACCGGAAATGTGAGAAGAAGGAGCGTATCAGACAGGAAACCCTTAATAGAGAGAGGATTGTGATGATGATGTTGTTGTTCTCTTATCCTCCCGTTCTCGAAACTCATTCTCTGAAGTCGAAGGAGAGAAGAAAGAGCAACGACATCGTCCGCTCTGCATTCAAATTTATTTATACACACACATATTAAGTCGAATTCGGTTTCTTTCCTGATGCGACGAAAAGAGAACGCGCGCGCAACAGCGACGAGGATTATTGCGTAATGCCATTGAATTTGAGTTTGTGTGCATCACGATGATGTCTGTGCACTTCTTCTTCGTCGTCTTCTACGAGATTTGGGTCAGAGCTCATTTATGCCGTTTATTATCAACTTCGAAGTAGGAGAAGAGGAGGGTTGTGCTCCATCTCGAAATAGTCTCTGCTCTGTTCGTTCACCTGCATCCTCATTAACGGGCCGAAACCAAATGAAAGCAACACAAAGAAACAACAAAACTATGAAAGAAAGAAAAAAAGTAAAGCAAAGGAAAATCTTTACGTCAGAGCGAAGAAGAAAACGCAGAGTGAAAAATTATTTTTGGATCTCTTAAACGTATTTCGAACACCGAAAATTAGTGCTCTTGCATGTCTTCAATAACCATTAAAGTCATTATTAATATTGAAAATGCAGATGAAAGTTAAAAGTGTAAGGACAAAATTATATCTGTTGTAGATTTCTTGTAATTTTACTGTTGTAAATTAACATTGTTTTATCTATATCTAGATTTTCATTCATAGTAGTAGCAATATTGAATATGCAAATTAATGTTAAAAATGTAAGGATTAGTATGTGTATTAAGGCAAAACTGTCTGTCTTATTGATTTTTTATAATTCACTATCAAAATTGAAGTAATGAAGTTGAAAGATAATCCTTACATTTTCGTTTATATTTTGATTACCATTTGTAGTAGTGTTAATATTAAAGATGGAAATTAAAGCTAAAAGCATAGGGAATAAAATGGTTATAATATGAGCATTGTAACTTTTATCCATTTTCTTATAAAACGCTACTAAAGTTGAAGTAATAAAATTTCATCAATTTAACCTTACATTTTCGTTTATATTTTGATTACCATTTGTAGTAGTGTTAATATTAAATATGGAAATTAAAGCTAAAAGTATAGGGAATAAAATGGTTATAATATGAGCTTTGTAACTTTTTTCATTTTTTTATAATACGCTACCAAAGTTGAAATAATAAAATTTCATCAGTTTAATCTCTACATTTTCGTTTATATTTTGATTACCACTTGTAGCAGTGTTAATATTAAAGATGAAAATTAAAGCTAAAAGTATAGGGAATAAAATGGTTATAATATGAGCATTGTAACTTTTTCAGTTTTCTTATAATACGCTACCAAAGTTGAAGTAAAAATTTCATCAAATTAATCTCTACATTTTCGTTTATATTTTGATTACCATTTATATTAGTGTTAATATTAAATATGCAAATTAAAGCTAAAAGTATAAGGAATAAAATGTTTATAATATGAGCATTGTAACTTTTTCCATTTTCTTATAATACGCTACCAAAGTTGAAGTAATAAAATTTCATCAGTTTAATCTCTATATTTTCATTAATATTTTAATTACCATTTGCAGTAGTCTTAATATTAAATATGCAAATTAAAGCTAAAAGTATAGGGAATAAAATGGTTATAATATGAGCATTGTAACGTTTTCCATTTTCTTATAAAACGCTACCAAAGTTGAAATAATAAAATTTCATCAGTTTAACCTTACATTTTCGTATATATTTTGATTACCATTTGTAGTAGTGTTAATATTAAATATGCAAATTAAAGCTAAAAGTATAGGGAATAAAATGGTTATAATATGAGCATTGTAACTTTTTCCATTTTCTTATAATACTCTACCAAAGTTGAAGTAATAAAATTTCATCATTTTAATCACTACATTTTCGTTAATATTTTGATTACCATTTGTATTAGTGTTAATAATTAAATATGAAAATTAATGATAAAAGTATAGGGAATAAAATGGTTATAATATAAACACTGTAACTTTTTCCATTTTCTTATAATACGCTACTATTACATCAACGTTTTATAAGAAAATGGAAAAAGTTACAATGCTCATATTATAACCATTTTATTCCCTATACTTTTAGCTTTAATTTGCATATTTAATATTAACACTACTAAAATGGTAATCAAAATATAAACAAAATGTAGAATACTGATGAAATTATCTTGATGAAGTTAAATTGATGAAATTTTATTACTTCAACTTTGGTAGCGTATTATAAGAAAATGGAAAAAGTTACAATGCTCATATTATAACCATTTTATTCCCTATACTTTTAGCTTTAATTTGCATATTTAATATTAACACTACTATAAATGGTAATCAAAATATAAACGAAAATGTAGAGATTAATCTGATGAAATTTTTTACTTCAACTTTGGTAGCGTATTATAAGAAAATGGAAAAAGTTACAATGCTCATATTATAACCATTTTATTCCCTATACTTTTAGCTTTAATTTGCATATTTATTATTAACACTACTCAAATGGTAATCAAAATATAAACGAAAATGTAGAGATTAAACTGATGAAATTTTATTACTTCAATTTGGTAG